CCGCCCCCGACGCACTCCGGCCTTCCCTCCTCCCCTACAGCCTCCCAGGAGGCAGCCTAACCCTTTCGCGTGGCCGGTCTCATTTGCGAGTTGCGATATTCCGCCAAAACTTCCTCCCCCTATGTCGCGCGCGCCAGGCCGCGACCGGGACTCTCGCTGGTTGCATGCGACACACCCGGGCGCGCGCTCCGACGGGGGCGTTCGCCGGGCCTCCCCCACCTGCGTGCGGCCGGGGAAGCACCACCGCCGCCACAACCGCACTTGGCGCGGGCGGTTCTGGGAAAGGGGGATACGCCGGCTCCCTGCTCGGACGTCACCGCCAGTAAGTATTTCGGGGCGGAGCGGGCTGCTCGCTGACGGCACCCCGCGTGACGCGTGTAACCCGACCCTGATTGTGGTGTGTGACACGCTCGTCACACTCTTGGGCCGGGCCGGCCCCAGAGGGGTCGCTGAGCCCGCGGCACCGCCGCCGCGCGTGCCACTGAATGCGGCTGCCGCTAAGAGCCCTGGCGACACATATTTTCGTTTCCTCGTCGCGTTCGACACTGGGCACCGCAACGCGGCGAGCGGGGCCGGGGCAGAGAGCCCATAGCCGCAGCGGGGAACGGGAACACCGCGACAAACACACACGCGGCTGCGCAACGTGAACTTCGATCACGCGGCGGTTGCACGTCGTTTGTTTCTGGCGGTGCGCACTGCGCGGGGGTACATCTCAGCGGCAACCCTCCCTCTGCTCTGTACCACCCGCGGAGCAGTGCGGAGCAGGCCCGGCGTGTCGCGGCGACGAACGACGTTGTCTGACAGCCTTACCGACACTCTGCAGCCAGCGGCGGCCAGCGGCAGTGTCGTGCGCTGCGAGTGATTTTTCTCGTCTTGTCCACCAAAGTGGAGAGGGGCAGAGGTGGGGAGTGGGACAGAGAGAGAGAGAGAGAGAGAGAGGGGGGGGGGTCGAAGGGGAAGGCATAGGACGACACGGGATGAAAAGGACGAGGGGAAAAAATAAACGACCGGCGTGCGGCGCTGTGCTGCGCTGCGCGGCGCTTCATTGCCACGCTCCCCGCGCCGCTAAACGGTTTGCAGTGGCCGCTGAGCGGACCGCTGAGCGGGTCTAATCCCGCGCGCCGTGCCACGCCAGCACACGCCAGAGATGCACTGCCGCGGCATTCCCCGCGCGCGGCCTGTGCCGTGCCATAGTGACAACCCAGCAGCAGTTTCGAAACGCGCCGCCACACACGGTGCCACTCACACTCACACACGTACACACACACACACACACACACACACACACACACACACACACACACACACACAAATAACCTTCGCTTCCAGTAGGTCAGACAGACCAGCGCATATTGTGAGAAGGGAATGTGTAGAGTACGTGCGAGTCGCGACTGTGGGTCTAAACCCTCTCCATCTTTCACGCATCTGCTTTATTTTTCCCGTTTTTTTTTTGCGCTTTACTATACACATTTTTCAGCCCTTAAGTCAACTTTCAGGTGCATGGCATGAGGCGTGCGTCACCCCACCATTCCCCTATATATACTTGCTACCAACCACCTTTTCCCAACCCCTTTCTCCCTTTCTCTCTCTCACTCTCTCCCCATTCTCGCATCTTTCTCTCCTCTCTCTCTCTCTCCTTTCCGACATCATCTTTCTCTTTCTCTCTCTCTCTCTCTCCCCCCCCCCCTTTTCTGTCATCCAGCGCCCCTTTTGTTCGTCACCTTAAGTATGCCCCCGAGGTTGGCTCCGCACACGGCTGCTATGCTATGCCTTCTCACCCTCCTTGTCGCTCGCGGGTCTCATACGAGAGAGGAGAGAGACAGAGACAGAGAGAGGGGGGGGAGAGAGAGACGGCCAGCACGGTTTGGAACGGACACAACATTGTCTTGGTCGTAAAGGGGGGAGCATAATGAATCCGAGTCTTTAACCTCGGCGACCCGCCGCCACGCTCCTTTTCACTAAGACGACGCATAAGGAACGACAAACGCCAGCGTTACTCTCTCCAAACGTGAAAATGTCCACATGGAATTCTCTTCTACTCTAGTCTTATTGTTTAAAAATAAAAAATCCAAGGTCAAAATTTTCAGCAGCAACCGAATAGGATTTCATCCGGAAACGGCGGGCGGATACTCCTTTCAGAGTCGGCAGCGCCTAGGGCCCAACGGCGAGCAGGCCGAGCTGGCTGGCAGCTGGCAGCCCAAAGCTGCCCGTCCGAGCTGGCAAGCAGGGCTGGCAGGCAGGGCTGGCAGCTATGCCCACTCGAACCGATAATTAATTCCGTATCCTGTCGCCCGAAAGGCCCACTTTACCAAATTAAGATTCTAAGAGACTGCCGATCGCTTCGGGACCTCCGCGCGCGCGCGCATCGATCAGACGGGCGGTGCGCACTCTGTGCACACCCACCAGCGACACGGGTGGCCAGCAAAGCGCCCAGGCAACGACGCGAAAATGTTGGCGGGAAACTTGAAAATAGTTTTAAAATAAGGCTTGGCAGTTTGAGCGCGTCGCTGCTGTGCCAGCCGGCCGGGCCGGCTCGCAGGGCGCCTGGCTGGGTAGGCATCCCGGGCGCGCACGGCCGTCTGACGGGACTGCCTACCGCCCAGGCTGAGAGGCAGCAGCGCACAGTAGGGTCCTTATACTAACTAGCGCACGGCAGCGCAGCGCCACAGCTATTGCGTTTTATTTATATATTTGGCCTTCCGACTACCTATTGGCCGACTCTTTACCGGTAATTGATTTTATTCGGTCTGAAAACATTATTGTTCTAAAACCGAATGACGTAGAAGTTTATCGCCGGGATACTGTCATAATCCGCGAGTATATCAGCAACATCGGCTTTGGTATGGCGCCCTGGCGCCTCCCCTCCCGACGAAGGCTGCCGCCGCTTTAGCGCGCTCCGGCTGGGCCGCCGGGGCAGGAACAATGGAGGCAGCATAAGTTGACTTGAATAGCTCAATTAGCAATAATTTGCTGCCTTGAACTTATTTTATCTCATCTCGTTTAGGCGTCCGTCGTAGAGCTGTACGTACCGCGGGGGGTTTATACCTAGGCGTAACATTATTTATTTTCCTTACACGGGAAAACCCCTCTGTCAATAAGTTGTGAGCTGCAGAAAAACCTGACACCTAATAGGTATTATGCCGAAAAAAAATCTGGCTTTTCCATGAAGTATGAGAGGCGAACAGAATGGCTATTTCAGGCGGCTTTGATTTATTGATTGGGTTCTACTTCGGAAGTCCAGTGCTGCTAGGTTTACCGTAGGTACGCTGCGGTATGTGGCTAGTGTGCTTTAAACTCACACGCGGAAACCGGCCGGTGGTGGACGCAGTTGCATCAGCTGTACACGAGTGTCGCCCTGCTGGTTCGACGCCCGGCGAGATCCGCACCCGGTTTCCCGAACGAAATGAGCAAACGCTGTCATCGTCTGCCGCCAAAGTCGTAATCAACTTTCATGACACGTGTTTATTTTCCCGAGTCAATTTGACCGTCGACGCCTGCGAGAAACAGATTCCACTTTTCACTTTTTTTTCTCTCTCTTTCCTTTTCAAAAATATTAACACGGCGCGGTAATATCTGTCATGTCTGCGGCTGGAGCCGGGCGAAGCGTCCACAAAACGGCGCGCGCGACAAAATATTGCGGCAAAAAGGGGCGCCATTTCGCCGCCATTCCTAAGCGCTCCGCGAGCGCCGTGTGCGCCAAAGAGGTCTGCAACATTTAACGGCGCTTTGCATCATTTCAGATTAGCTGGATCGCGGCGTACACTCTACTTCCAGCTCTCTTTCTCTCCCTCTGTCCCACTCCCTTTCCATCTCAGATTGCCTTCTCTCTCTCTCTCTCTCTCTCTCTCTCTCTCTCTCTCTCTCTCTCTCTCTCTCGCAAGAGAGCGGAGATATACACATAATGGCAAGACCACATCCGCGCACTGAAAAACTCGCGGGTACAAAAGCGGTACAAAACAAGTTTCGAACATCCATACCTCACTCGAAGTCGCGGCGACGTTGAAAGCCATTTTCTTTTTTTCGCTTCTCCCGTTCAAAATATATATGATGTTTTCAAGAAAGTAATTTTCTCTCGAAAGAGAATGGAGCGAATCGTCCTGGACGAGCCAGGCCGGGCCAGGCGGAGAGGAATCGCGTCACTCATCAATATCGTTCGTTCCTTGTCTCCGGATCGTATCTCCGCCAACTGTATCAGCTCGCTCGCGTCGCTGATCGTATCTCTGCCATGCAATACGCGGTGGGCATGTTTTATGGCCAACAAATGCATAACGGCGCAAGGGCCAGTGTGCAGTGCGTGGCCGTAAAGATAAGCCATCGCCGGCCCTCGGCAGGGCGGAGCGGCCAGGACCTCCCGACGTATTAATCTCTTGTCTCAGTGAGACAAACTAGGAAGTCTCCTGGGACGAGCCATTAAAAGCGGCCCGCAAAGTGCTTCTCTCCCAAAGAGAGCGAGAGAGAGAGGCGGTCGCGTCGCCGTCTTGGGTTTCCATCGAACCGAAAGTGAACATTATTCTCCTTTCGGAGCGCGTCGTTAGAGCGCCCGATGTGACCGGAGCTGACCGCGATGCGTTTTGTGTTCCAGTCGAATGAGACCCTGGACACACTGCTGTGCCGGCCCGACCTGGGGCGACTGCAGAGGCTGCAGCTGCCGTTCGACAACGACCCGGACAAGCCCCGGAGGCAGTCGGCGTCCACCATCGACGAGTTCTTCGAGTGGCCGCGCCCGCCGCCCGGGCCTCGGCTCGCGCCTCCAGGGTCCTGCTCGTCGACGCCCCTCTGCGACGAGGATGTGTTCCTGCGGCCGCCCGCCCTGTGGGAGGACATCACCTCGTCCATCCAGAAGCTGGACCCGGACAACGCCGACATGCTGGGGCTGGCGGGGCTGTCCGGCTCGCTGGCCGGCCCGCTCTCTAGCTCCCTGTCCAGCCTGTCCTCCATCAAGATGGAGGTGACGGAGGACCCCGGGCTGATGGCCGAGCTGGCAGTGCACCAGGTGCCCGTCCAGCCTCCGCAGCTGGCCGCCCCCCAGCAGCACGTGCCCCAGCAGCTGCAACCCCACCCGCACCAGCTGAGGCCGCACCCCATGCAGCAGGTGAGTACGGGCAGCGCCACGCGACGCCACGCGGCGCCACGCCCGCGGGGCACTCACTAACGCCGTCTTGTCTTTCACAGCACCCGCTGCAGCGGTTACCCTTCCCTCCGCCCCCAACGCCGCCCGCGTCGGACCCCGGCTCGCCCAGCAACAGCGCGCCCCGGCGGACGCCCCCGCCGCCCTACCCCACCACCCC